CGGGCTCTGTGCTGACAGCCAGCTCAGAGCCTGGAGTCTGTTTCAGTCTGTGACTCCCTCTCTCTCTGACCCTCCCCTGCACACGCTGTCTTTCTCTCTGTCTCCTAGAAATAAATAATAAAACATTAAAAAAAAAAAAAAAGACACCCAGATGGCTAAAAGACATGAAAAGATGCTCACATTACTCATCATCAAAGAAATACAAATCAAAACCATGAGATAGCACCTCACACCTATCAGAATGGCTAAAACTAACAACTCAGGAAACAACAGATATTGGCAAGGATGTGGAGAAAGGGGAAACCTCTTACTGGTGGGAATGCAAACTCATGTAGTCACTGTGAAAGCTCCTCAAAAAGGTAAATATAGAACTACCTTATGACCCAGAAATTGCACTAGTAGGTATTTATCCAAAGGACACAAAAATGCTGATTCAAAGGGGCACATGCACCCCAATGTTTATAGCAGCACAATAAAAAATAGCTGAACTATGGAAAGGGCCCAAGGGTTCATTGACTGATAAATGGATAAAGAAGATGTAGTATATACAATGGAATCTTACTCAGCCATTAAAGAAATAGAAACCTTGCCATTTGCAATGATATGGCTGGAGCTAGAGTGTATTATGCTAAGGGAAATAAGTCAGAAAACAAACACCATATTATTTCACTCATATAGAATTCGGAAACAAAACAGATGAACATATGAGAGGGGGGAAAAGAGAGAGAGGGAAGCAAACCATAATAGACTCTGGATAGACAACAAACTGAGGGCTGATGGAAAGAGGGAGGTAGGGGATGGGCTAGATGGGGTGATGGGTATTAAGGAGCGCACTTGTTATGATGAGCACTGGATATTGTATGTAAGAGATGAATCACTAAACTCTACTCCTGAAACCATTATTACACTATGTTAACTAACTAGAATTAAATTTTTTAGTATTATTTATTTTATGAGAGAGTGGGAGAGAGAACAAGCATGTGAGTAGGGAAGAAGGAGAGAGAGAGTCAGAGAGAATCCCATGCAAGCAGACTCTATGCTCAGTGCAGAGCCCAACACAGGGTATGATCCCACAACCTAGGGATCGTGACCTAAGCTGAAATCAAAGTCTGACATTCAACCAACTGAGACACGCAGGCGGCCCTTAACTAAATAGAATTTAAATAAAAATGAGGGAGTGCTTGGGTGGTTCAGTCAGTACAGTGCCTGACTCTTGGTTTCAGCTTAGGTCATGATCTCATGGGTCCATGGGTTTGAGACCCATATTAGGCTCCATGCTGACAGAAGGGAGCCTCCTTGGGATTCTCTCTCGCTCCCTCTCTCTCTGCCTTTCCCGTGCTCGGGTGTGTGCATACACTCTCTCTCCCAAAATAAATAAACTGTAAAAAAAGAAATAAATACATATAAACAAACAAACAAATAAATAGAAAAAGAAAACTTAAGTTCTATTCCACATTAGCAAATCTGATTTTCAAAGATGCCTCTTAAATCTCATCAAATTAAAAAAATTTTTTTTAAATATTTATGAGAAAGAAAGAGAGTGAGTGGGGGGCGGGGGGGAGAATAGACAGAGAGGGAAACACATAATCCAAAGCAGGCTCCAGGCTTCCAACTGTCAGCACAGAGCCCATCGTGGGGGCTCAAACTCACAAACCTCAAGATCATGACCTGAGCTGACATCAGACCCTCAACTGACTGAGCCACCTTGGTGCCCTAAAATTAATTTTATATCTTTATTGCTCTTGATTTATAGAAAATTTACGGTGGATACCTAGAATCTTTACATAACCACAATTTCATTTGTTTCCTAAGGACTTGATAAATGCAAGGCTGTTATTAAGTGTTCTAAGGCTGTGCCAAGATTAATATATCCAATCCTCATAAAAAAAAAACCTTAAGGCAATGATATCATTATCTACATTTTACAACATAAAATTGTAAAACATAAAGATTAATAACTATTGGCCTTGAAATGTAGCTAGAGAGAACAAGGAACTGAAATTTTAATTGTTAAAGTTTTTTTTAATGTTTATTTATTTTTGAGAGAGAGAGAGAACTGGAAGCAGACTCCAGGTTCTGAGCTGTAAGCACAGAGCCTGACATGGGGCTCTAACTCATGAACTATGAGATCATGAACTGAGCCGAAGTTGGATGCTTAACTGACTGAGCCACCCAGGTGCCCCTATTGCCGGGAGCCGCACCAGCCTCTCTGGATGGCAATCACAGCAAGGAAATGGCAATATGTGCAGCTCCTGCCATGAGAAATGAAAACTGGTATTTCCTTCTGCTCATGTTGGATACAAGCCTACTGGTATTGACCAGGCCTCACTATATTCCATATCAGACCCATATTTTGAATACAGATACCTCAAAAGGAAAAGCCATATTCCTGCCTTTACAAAAGAGATTTTAGATGAAAGCTCTATGGGCAATTGTCAAAAGGCTCTTCCTATGGGCCTTGCAAATCCAAGACTTAGGGGGTTAAGAACACAAGAATTACAATTGAGCCTGGCCCTGAAACCAAGGGCCTATTTTGGGGTTAAAAACGAAACATAGTTACCATATAGATCTTTGTTAATTGGTGAAACATAACAGTCCCTTCCTCAAGGCCTACTTTCCACAAATACCCTCTCTTACAGTGGCAGCTGGGATGAGGATAGATAAGAGTAGCTAAAACATAACCCAGAGGCAAAAGACTGACCCATTCAGGGTCCCCATGTTAGTCTCCACAAACAAACCAATTCAGAAACATTCATCCTCTTGAGAGCCAGACAAAATACTCCTAACTTATCTATATACAATTTTACCTATATGTTATCCTATTTTTCACTAAGAACATTCTGTTATTTCCTTGATCGGAATAATTCTACTATTGTTATCACAAAAGACCTCCCATTGTAAGAAATTCCTTTCTATGACTTCATCTTGTTGCTGAACCTTTAAATAAAGACACAAAAACCGACAGGACAGAGATGCCTGCCTGGTGATCAGAAAGAATCTCTGGGGCATCTCTCACTCTCTTTCTCTTTCGCTGACACCGTCCATCCTTCAGGGACCCCTGGACCTGCCGGAGCTGGCTCTGGCCTCCGGCACCCTATTTTAATTTTTAATTTAAATACAGAAGTGATATAAAATGTTTTTCATTTAAACACAAGTTTAGTTTGGGTATAACTACATTTCACCATAACCACTGAAAATTTAGCATCCAAACTGAAAAGTGCTATAACAATAAAATATGTATCAGATTTTGAAAACTCAGTATGAAGATAGGAATGTAAAATACTTCAATTTATTTATAGTATTACATGTTGAAATAATATTTTAGATATATTGGTTAATGGATATTATACGTAATTTCAACTGTTTCTCTTTACTTTCAAAACTGTGTGCAAAAGAAAATTTTAAATTACACAAGTAGCTTGCATTGTATTTCCTTTAGATTCAAATACCATTATGCTGCCTCTCACAGTCTACATCAGTATGCGGGCTGAAAGAGGCATACTGCCAGATCTCAAGACTTTGTCACCAGTTCAAGAGATTGGATTCTCAGGAAAAACTCCCTGCCCTTGTTCACACAGATCTCTCTTCCCAAACTCCAAACATATTCCTACTCCTAAAATGTCTTACTGCCTAAAATCAATCAAACCATTTCCTACCTCGTTTTGTTTGAAAATCAAGTCTGTGAATAAAATCAAAGGTATCTGGTGTGTTATTCTACCTAACGACCAGTCTCTTCCTTGACAAAACACACTCTAAAATAAGTCCTTAGTTTATCCTTGAAGAGTTCAACTAGTTCTATTCCTGTACCGTCCTTAGGAAAGAAAACAGCACATGGGGAAACTGAATAATTACCGATTGGTATGTGAGTAGTCCCTGGGAAGGAAAAGGAAAAAGCACTGGAAGAGAAGGGTCCATCCCTATGGTCCTGTTAGTAACTGGGAAGGGGCAACCACCTAGGATCCAGGTAAATGAACGGGTCACAATTAGGTCATACAATTTAGAAGGAAAGCAAATATTTTATGTTCTGTAAAGCAAATATACATGACAGAACAAAAAGTAAACATGAACTGACCTTGAATGCGCTGTTAAGTAGCAACACTCTCCTCTACTTCAGGAGGTTCTCTTGCAGAACTACAGGACCAACAAGGGACTCTTGAGATTTTGGACAGGCTAAACAACACTGTCCACCATCGGACATGACCCATGACCCATCACTTACCGCTAATATATCCAGATGGAATAAGAGAAATAGAATACTGCTGACTTTTAACAGTATCAGAGGAAAAGGTCACACTTATAAACAGCGCTGGAATCTAAGTTCACAGCAATTTCTAGGGGGCACAGCTGTGGTTCTGAAAGCAAGGACTTGCCTTCTGAAGTCTACTTCTTTATAGCCAGATCAAACTGGCTCTATGATGTAAGAACCGAGGAGAATCCAGGGAAACACGTTCGAAGGAACCGTGGAACCTACAGTGGACCCTGGGTGGGCAACTCTCCAATGTCTCCTCTGCCTTAAGCACAAAGCTGGGTAGTGGGGACCAGTTGATATATATTTTCGTTACAGACTCTTATAAGCTCATTAATAAAACAAACTTCAAACTCCTGCAGGTTTACTGGGGAAAATTAAAAAACCCTACCCACTGCGTTCAAACTTACAGTCGGTTACAACTGAGCTGTCACAGGATCTGTCACTCGGTCACAGTATCAGACACCTTTCGTCACCGTAGACTGTGTACTGACCGGCCCACCAGCCCTATCGGATACCAGTCTGGGCACTCCAGGGCTCGTCACACACACACTCACACGCATGCAGGCGCGTGCTCTAACACTCCACAATGAACTCGTCACAGACAATAATGCCCGAAACCACCGTCGTGCGACGATCACGCAAACACCGGGACAAGGCTCCGGGCTCCACCTGCCTCACCCGCGCTCCGGGAGCTTAGGGTCTCCACACCGCGAGCTCCTCCCGCAACCCGACCTGGGTCACCTCCACTCACCAGGCATAACCCAAGAACCACGAAGATACCGGAAGTGGAACCAAAAGTCGAAGTCCATTCGTGGCCCTGGGGCCTGTGGGAAACGTAGTCCAACACTAAAAAACAAATGTCCTGGTTTTCGAGCGCAACAGGGAGTACAATCGTCGCAAAGCCCGCGCCACGCCCCCGAGACTCCTGGGAGATCCGGGGTGCGCTGATCCTTCGTCCTCGGTGGACGGTTGCCGCTGGCGGTTCTTCAAACACGGAATAGCCGGGTGATGGCTTCATGGGAGAGAGGGGGTCTCTGCATGAACTAGAGCCCAAGCCTAGAAAGTAATCGAAAATCTGGGCAAGGGAGGAAAGTAAAAGGAAGCGGAAGCCTAGAGGAGCCGGGGCAAGGAGGAAAACGGAAGCAGCCTGATTCTGGGAAGACCCGGAGAGAACCGGAAGCACCAACCCAGGAGCGTTGAGGAGGGAAGAGGGAATCGGAGCCAGGTTGAGGAAGGCGGGGAAGGTATCAGGAAACCGTGCTGAGTGACTTCGCGCCAAGGGCTAAGGAAGGTCCTGCATTTTGGGCGGGAAAGCTGAGGTGAGAACTGGGAGCTGGTGCTTGTGGAGGTTTCTCTTCACTTAGGACTGTATGTGCGGGACCCCAGGCCCATGGTCGTGAACCAGAGATGACGAGTTTTGTCAGTTTTTGTCCCTTGTGAAAGTCCCAAGGCAGCGAATGGTGTCTGGCACATAGCAGTTGCTCGGTATGTGTATGTCTGCCCAGGTGCGTATTTTATACCATCACTGCCGGAAGGCCTTTTCCAGTCTCACAACGCAGCCAAAGTTCGTTTTTTTTGTTTTGTTTTTGAGAGAGCGAGCGAGTGGGATAGGGGCAGACACACACAGAACCTGAAGCAGGCTCTAGGGGCAGACACACACACACACACACACACACACAATCTGAAGCACACACACACACACACACACACACACAATCTGAAGCAGGCTCCAGGCTCTGAGATGTCAGCACAGAGCCCCACTGGGGGCCTCGAATTCAAAGTCATGAGATCATGACCTGAGCCGAAGTGGGAGGCTTCACCTAGGTTCCCCGCAATAGTTCTGATACACATCGCCACAATTTAGTTCTGTCAGTTATGCAGTTATTTCTCTCTCACATCCCTAGTTTTGTAAGGGTTTTAATGTTGTGCAGTTCATTCTTTTTATTTCTGGACAACATTCAATTGTGTGAATATGTCACAATTCATTCATTTTTCTCTTGGTAAACATTTGTTGTATTTCCAGGTTATATATATTATGTATAAAGCTGACATGTTTCCATTTCTCCTGGAGTAATACCTAGAAGAAAAAAATGCTGGGTAATAGTTCAGTTTATATTTAACTAAGAAGTTGATAAAACTTGCAGAATGATTAGTTGTTAGTGGATTGTGTTTTGAGGTTCTATGTAACTGTGGAGTAAGTGGCTTTCGAGTTTGATTTGCTGTCTTGTATGGAATTATGAGGTGGGCTTAGTGGAGTTATGAATGTGATGTAAGATCCATGGGATTATGGTTTTGTGAAGTGGGTGAGACATAGGAGACTGAATGTATCTGTACCAATTCTTTTTTATCATGATTTTGTGTATTTACTCCATGCCACGGTGACTATTAAATTAGATCATTATGTAAATGGTATTAATGAGTAATTGAGAAACACTGTGTGTCTAGTAAAGTGTCATTTTGATTCTGCTTATAGAATTATGACTGTTTCTAATCAAGTAAAATAGCAGTAAAGAGATATCCAAAGGAAAAGAAACCAGGATATCAAAGAAATATGCACTCCCATATTCACTGTAGCATTCTTCACAATAGCCAAGGCATGGAATCAACCAAAGTCTTCATTGATGGGTGAATAAATAAAGAAAATGTGGTGTACATATACACAATGGAGTATTATTCAGCCTTTAAAATGAAGTAAATCTGGAGCACCTGGGTGGCTCAGTTGGTTAGGCATCTAACTTTGGCTCAAGTCATGATTTCATGGTTCATGGGTTCAAGCCCCGCATCGGGCTCTGTGCTGACCGCTCAGAGCCTGGAGCCTGCTTCAGATTCTGTGTCTCCATCTCTATCTGCTCCTCTCCTGCTCATGCTCTGTCTCTCTTCAAAAATAAACATTTTAAAAATTAAAAAAAAATTTTAACCTTAATAAATTTCTTATATTTATATGTTTTCTCAATATGTAAGTTCTGATTGTTATCATTAATGTGTGACCCAAATCTTACTATTACCCAAATTTCTATATATTTCATAGAGTGTCTCATCAGAAAACCTTTTCTGATATACTCAAAAATATCTTCCATAAGTAAAGGCCTTCCTACATTCCATAAATTCATGAGACTCACCACCAATATGAATTTTCTAAATTCTCTAAAGCTCTTCCTACATTACTTACATTCATGTAGTTTCTCAAGAGTGAATTCTTTAATGATCTTTAAAGTTTCTACTACACCCCAAAGCCCTGCATATTACTTAATAGTTTTTCTAACCTGCTATAAATATACTTTTGTAGTTTTAGAAAACAGCCATCTTGCTAATAAATGCGGGGCCCCTGGGTGGCTGTCGGTTAAGCTAATAAATGCTTTGTGGAAATGAAATGCCTGGCTATGAGAGGGAGATGCTCTTTCAGCCTGTTGTGCATATATTTTAGTCTTTTTTTTTTTAACTGAGATGTAATTCATGTAAAATAAAATTTACCCCTTTATATGTAAAATTCAGTAATTTTTAATATATTCACAAAGTTGTGTAATCATTACCACCAATTCCAGAACGTTTTCATTACCCCAAAAAGAAACATTATCAGAATTAATAGTCTCCCCATTTTTCCCTCTCCCCTGCCCCTTATAACCACTAATCTACTTTCTTTTTTTAATTTGTTTAAATTTTAGTTAGTTAATATACAGTCCAATATTGGTTTCAGGAGTAGAATTCAGTGATTCCTCACTTACCTACACCACCCACTGCTCATCATAACTACTAATATACTTTGTCTCTGTGGTTTTACCTCTTCTGAACACTTCATAAAAATGAAATCATACAATATGTGGCTTGCTTTCACTTAGGGTAATATTTTCAAGGTTCATCTATGTTTTAGCATGAATCAGTACTTTATTCTGTTAATAGCAGGATAATATTTCATTTTATGGATATAAACATTTACACTTCAGATACTTACTAGGTTTCATAATAGCAGGAATTTTCAGATAATGCATTTCACTGTTATGCACACAAAAGAATTGTTTCCCTATGTAGATTTTTCCTCTCTAGAATGAATTCTCTCATCACAAAGTTTGAACAATAATCAATGATGTTCCCATATTCCTGATCTCTTTGAATATCTCTTATAAATTCCCTGATGTGGAGTAAGAGACTTATACTTTACTATAATTGGTTCCATTTTCAGCCATTTTTTCCATTTAGCTAAGATATCCCTCTTGAGGCCCTTGCCTAAATCTTGGTTTTATTTTGCCAGTTATTTCCGGAAGTGAGTCCTCAAGGTCAAGGATTTTATTTCGTTCCATTACCTTGCATTGAGAGCCTTTCCCCCCCACCCCAAAAATGTCTTTCTTTCATACCTGGACTCCAAATCTGAAAGAATAGTAAAAAGGAAACAATGATTTTATTTTCCCTGTATCAAAAAAATAAAATTATTACATGAAGGAAATAAATTGAAAATGAATATCAGCAGTCAGTAGCTAACAGGTATTAGAAATTTGAGAAAAGCAAGAAAAGTCCAAGAATGAGGAGACTCTTATATATATGATAAAGAAGTTATGAAAGGCGCATTCCCAAGTCAACAGCTAGTCCGAGGACATACCCTTGAGAGAGTAAAGGGTTGTGGAGACCGTCTACAGAATATACATGAATGAATATTAAAGCTTCTATATAAACCAGTAAGATTCTGGCAGGCAGGTTCTGTGATCTGCTCGCTTACAGCCATGTATAGTTTCCCATGCTTATCAACCCTTCCACCCACCCATGTGGAGTACTCTGCCTTTTTCTTCAGCTCTCCGTGCCCTCAGTGTACTGAGGTCAGTTTCCAAACCAAGACTCCCCAGGATTTTGAGTGCTACCTCAAGAAACAAGCCAAAGTACACATGGTGGAGAGTCCCAAATACCACTACGAGTAGGGAAATAAAATAACCAAAGTCTCAACAAGAGAAACCAAGAGACACCACTCAAAGAACACTTCCTGAACAGACAGGCCCTGGACAAAGACCCCTCTTTAATACAGCAGCACCCGCAGGGGCAGAGTGCATAACAAGCGTTTAAAAGTAACAAGAGATAGAAAGCTAACCAAAATGATGAAACGGAACTCTCTGCCAAAGAAATTCCAGCTGAAGAACTGCTCAAAACAGATATAAGCAACATAACTGAACAAGAATATAGAACAATAGTCATAACATTAATCACTGGGCTTGAAAAAAGCATGGAAGACATCAGAGAAACTATTGCTACAAAGACTATGGAGCTTAAAAATAGTTGTGATGAATTTAAAAATGCTATAAATGAGATACATAATGAAATGGAGGTGTCCAATGCACAAATTGAAGAGGCAGAAAGGAAAATAAGTGATTTAGAAGACACAATTATAGAAAAAGCTGAGAAAAAGAGAAATAAACATCCAGGAACATGAAAGGAGAGTTCGAGAGCTCAGCAATACAATCAAACAGAACAATATCCGTATTATAGGAATTCTAGAAGAGAAAGAGAGAGGGAAAGGTGCTAAAGGAGTCCTTGAACAAATTATAGCAGAGAATTTCCCCAATCTGGGGAAGGAAATAGACACTGAAATCCAAGAGGCACAGAGAACTCCCCTCAGACATAACTTGAGGCGATCTTCTGCATGACATATCATAGTGAAACTGGCAAAATATAAGGACAAAGAATTTTCTAAGCAGCTAGGGATAAAGGGGCCCTAACATACAAAGGGAAACCTATCAGTCAAAAAAAAGCTGGAGTAGCTATACTTATATCAGACAAACTGGACTTTAAAGACAGTAACAGGGGATGAAGAAGGGCATTATATAATAATTAAAGGGACTATCCATCAGGAAGAGCTAACAATTATAAATGTCTACACACCAAATATGGGACTATGCACTAAATATATAAAACAATCACAAACAGAAACAATATTATGGATAAGAATGTGCTAATAGCAGGGGACTTTAATACTCCACTTACAGCAATGGATAGATCAACTAGACAGAAAATCACGAAAGAAACAATGGACTTGAATGATATGTTTTAATGCCCATGTTTTAATAGGTACAGAGAAACTCAGGCAGAGGTTATCATCTGCATGGATGGCAGACTGGATACATGCAGATTAACTAAGTAACAAGTAATAAGTAACACACATTGAGGCTATCTGGAACCAAGATTCTCACAGATATAAATATGTAAAAGAAGAGGTCTAAACTAAACCCTGTTAAACTGGATTGGAATTAGAGGTGTCCGTGTACACTAAGCTATTTAAAAGTTATTTAAAATTTTAACAAAGTAGAATTCTATATCCAGATAAAAATGTATTCAAGAATGAATGCAAAATAAAGGCATTTTTAGATAAAAGAAAACTAACAGAATTTGTCACCAACAGACCTGTATTATAATAAAATGAGAAAAGGAAGCTCTTTGGGCTGAAACAAAATGCTGCCAGTGGGAAAACAGGATCTGCAGGAATAGAGCATAATTGGTGACTCGCTGGATAAACGTCATAACTCTTTATTTTCTTAAGTTCTTTAGACCACATATGACTATTAAAAGCAGTGTGTTGTGGGG